AAAAAAAAATTTCGAAAACACATCTTAGTAAAACCAATACCTTCTCAGCTTCGCATCGAAGCTAAAATACGATTTTTGTTAAAAATTCTTTTTTATATTTTTAACTTTATAATGCTATAACTTTTTGAAACATGTATGGATCAATATTATATTATTATGAGAAATAATATATTTTAATAATCCCCTTTTCATTCGACATACTTTATCTTAATCAGGATATTAATAAGGAACTAGCAGTTTATGAAGCTTTTGGAATAATCCACCAATTTTTTAAAATTAAACACTATCTAAAGATTTGCATCGAAGCGTTTTTTTTGATAGTGATTTTAATCACTGTCAGATATCATTATACTTGATCCAACTATGCCACGTCACCACTGTGCCGCGACCCCTCTGTGCTGGGTTTTTTTTAATCTGATAATAGTTTTGGCTGATAATTATACTTTTATGTGTCGATAATTTTTTTAAGAAATGTAATTAGTGAAATAATTTTCAAAGAAATCTTGAGAGTATTAAAAAATAAAAATTTGAAATGAATTCGCTACAATGATATTAATAATACAAAGTAATAATATACAAAAATGAGTAATATAAGGCTAAAAATATTGTATTTTACTGGGATATCGTTTTTCTGAGCTTCAGAAAATCATTATAAAGCTTAACTTAGTTTTTTTAACGAATGTAACATAATAATAATAATAATAATAGGTATAAAAACAAAGGTTATAATACGTGGAAACAAATGAGGTACGTGCTGCGCGACTCAGTCTATGTACATCCAAAAGAATGACCTAAATCTTATTAAGTGAACGCTGCGGCGAAGGATTTAGTAATAGGAGAGGAAGAGGGTTTAACCAAACATAACAAGATATGGTCCACTAGTTTCGGCTCACAAACCATAATAATAGCAGGGGAGAAATGCGCACTAGTCGTCGATTTCAAAATCAGCACTGTCACCCTAAAATTTATTTTTATTTCTGTAACTAAACAACACTTGTTGTTGAAGTTTATTATTATGTTTATATTATTTAGTTGTTTCTCCAAAACTCACAACTGTATTCAGTTTTCAATTTGTGTGTTTATTTCCGTGTTTATTTTAGATTTTCTAATCATTTTTCTTAAATAATTGAAAAGTAAACATTTAACATTAAATCATTAAATAAAAAACTGTTACACTTAACGTATTATAACGAATGACGTATTGATGATTAATGACTGGTATTATGTGTAGTTTTATTCATTTAAATGTTTTTTTTGTGTGTCTTTAAGAGTTACATTATATCAAAATAAATAATAAAAAATGCACTGTAAATGTAACTTCTAAACTCATTACAGTGATATTTTTTAATCGCAGTTTTTCTCATAACATCGTATAATTATGAATTCATCAAAATTAAACAATCAAGTATACCTTCCAATAAATTTAGGGTAAATAATTGTTAGGTTAAAATTTGAATATTTGAAGTAGGTATTCGTTGAGTTATTACAATAAAAAAAGCGCTATTAAAATGAAAACCTTACTAATTCAATTTGATACAACTGAATGAAACCCAATGTTTACTATTCTAGGGAAAGAATAACTCCGAAATTTATTAAAATCACTTCCAAGTACGAGTAAGATGATTCATTGTAAATTCTATATAAATATCTACATTTTATTGGTGGTTTTATCAAGAATGTGAAAGATATCTAATGATGCTAAAAGATCTACTAAAAAATGTTATACATAAAGCGCAATGGTTTATTTAAAAATTGTTTTTATTGTTGACAAACTTAAGATTTAAAAGCAAATAAGCCAATTGTGCGACGAAAAAGCCGATAAACATTCATATATTTCAAGAAAATGATTATTTTATGTTTTATGAAAATATAATTTTAATTTCAATTGGTTTTTGGAATTTCTAATATATGTAATACATATTTAATATCATTAATTATAGAAAAATTTTAATGAAAGAAGTTTTACGATAGAAATGCATTCATGCGTTCATTCCTAAATTAAAATATATATATAAGTATATTGAACTATAAGTAATACATTTTCAAAATACAATTATAACTGAAGAACATCGAATTTAAGTGTCTCAAAAAGTCAATTGAGGACTGCGTTTGTAAAAAGTTATGAACAAGCATGTGATTTTTATCGAATATTAGAATAATATTATTACACAACTTCGTCTTTCGAATACAACTCAATAGTAATTATATGTATTGTTTGCATCAGTAATATTGACGGGCACCGTAACTTATGTACCGTCAATTGCACGTAGTGGCATGTGTTTAATTACAAAGATCAAAATATGATACCACTTTTATGAGTTCTATACTTTATCTTTATAAAACGTAGTTATTACCTATAGATAAAAATTAATATTATAATTATAAAATAGTCTTAAATAATCTTCTACATTCATAGATTCTCTTATCCACGAAACCGAACTTGGACAATTCAAGATGAATTTTTGCATTTGGTAAATGAGATAAAAAGTGTGTTTTAATTAGCTAAACGAAAATTTGGACTACTTCCGGTAATGTACATAAATATATTGTTCAATATTAGTTTTTATCTGCTTTTCACTGACAAACTATATTATCCAACATGTTTAGTGAACATTTTTAATTTCAATTAAAATTAAATCTTATTTATATCCGGAAATTTAAATCTTTTTATACAGTGAGACTGTTATTTAACCTACTTAATTTGACAGAGTATTAATATGCATCTCAGTGTCTGGGTTCGCGTTTTTAATAGTACAGAAATTGTAAATTAAACTTCAAAATCAATAATACTTCAATTTAATTAAATACGAACTATAGTTAATGATAGCAATTGCTGTAGTTTAATTATCGAAATCTCGTAACATAAATTGTAGTATTTTAATTTTTAATTTGATGTAGTGTTTTTTGTTAAAGAACCTTTTGTACTTGTGCAAATCGCTTATTCATATTTTTAACTTCATAAGAATTTTGTTTTCACAGACTCGAGAATAACGGTAATACTAATGAGAATCTAAGAAAATCTAAAAACTTCAGTACCCCTTTTGACTGTGATTGACATGTGTTAAAGATAAATGCTGCACGGAATTTTTTCATAGTTTCGCCAATATATTTCTTAAAATTTTTTAAATGTGATGTAATATTTTTATGATAAATTGGCAAGTTCTTTATCGATTCATTGTCAAATAATACGAAGAGATATTTTTGTTATGAGTTCATGTTACTTAATATTATTTGTTTTTTAAACATAAAATTAAAATCAAGTGAAAAACTGTTCAATTGCAAACAAAGATTAATTTTAGTCCCCATTTTATAAATCCTAGATCTGCCAATCCTATCAAGAGTAACAAAACAATTTAATTAATGACAAAGTTAAACACTTGGTAATCAACACAGAAGACAAATAGTTTATGCCTATAATTTTGTATTAATAGAATCATCTATACAGACGTAACGAAGCAGCTTTAGAGATATTAATCGTCGATGTCCAGACAAACTTACATCGACCTTGGTAATATTTTGGCATAGTATTAAAGTTAGTTCAGATTTACTTTGATATTCGTATATAGACAATGAATGTCATTATATCAAGGTGTTGTAAATTGATGTGTATTCGACCATTTGATCATTTGCTGAATTGTTTACAGAAAATAACATAGGCTTATGAAATTTGTTTAACAATTATTACACGAGTAAAATATTTTTTATGGTATACAAATCTTCTAATTGGCTTATACTTTTTAGTGGACAATTAAATATGATAATACTCACAGAGTTCTTCACCGAGCACCCATGTTTCTGGTTGAGAATTTACTTCGACAAATACGGTGGGAGTGCATATAAGCAATACCATGAGATCGGCAATGCTCAAATTTATTAGGAAAATGTTGGTTGAGTTACGCATATCCTTAGACTTGAGGATGACTATAGGTACCATTATGTTGCCAACCACTCCCACGCCCAGAATAATGACACATACCACTATAGAAGTGATGCGTATGTAGCCAGGAAATGTGAGCTCTGCGTCCAGGAACTGGATGACACTGGCGGCGGTGTCGTTAGATCCAGTGTCGTTTGTCTGGTTCCCGGCGACAACGGCCGTCAACGGCGAGCTATCATTGCCGAACGCGGCCACTTCCAGAGCGGAAATCATGTGTTTTAACCGGCCGTTTGCCAGTTCGTTCCGCTTCTACTTTCTAAGTTATGCTGGACCGGAGCCGGTGGCCGACGGTAGGCGACCACGTGCAGGTCGTATTCATCGGATGTCCCTGTGCCTGGTCCCGCCGCATCGAGACGGCGACTTCACGAAGACTGTGTCCAGTACGTTGCAAACCTGTAATCAAAATTTGGACTATATCAGTTTTAAACATTTTTATGATTATATTCAAACAATCGAAATGTATTAGTTCTCTAATAAAAATATTTTATTAACTATTATTAATGATTAGGAACAAACTAACTACTGTTAGTAAATTTACTAAAAATTACTATTTAAAGGATATTACAAAAATTATTTGCACTGTAATTTTACTAAAAGAATAATCGTCTTAAGTTGTCTATCAGAATTTCCGAATGCGTGATTTTAAAAATATATCACGTTTTTCATAAAAAAATACAATAGATATTATCAATTGGATAATATTTCAAAACGTGGTTTTTCTGTTCCATCAATGCTGTGGATTACAATGCTGATTAATATAAGTGCACCAAGTCTCAAGACGACAACATTTATAAAAGACAATACTAAATAAAACATTGTACCTTATACGATTGGCAAAGTGAAATTATGAGGTCGATGCTCCAATTTTGTACATAATTTAAAAATTGTTCGTATATGACCGAAAGTTATTTGTAAAATTTACTCAAAGGATAACAAAAGACAATTTTGCAAACTGTGTCATAGAATAAAAGCCAGTTAAAAGCGTTCACAGTAGAGTATTATTTCTGTGTGGTTACTCTTTAATATAAGTTGCGTTATTGTTATGCGAGATGTGTAAAAAACTTTAAAATATTACTTAACCCGAATTGATATTTTTTAACTTTAAATTTAACAACAAAAATCGATTTGTCAAAACAATTCGTGAAAATTTAATGCATTTGTTTATCTATATTGAACTTCCTTGTTGAATGAATTCCATGTACAAGTTTATACTTTTTAAATTTGTGTAAATATTTAATAAGAAATCCGATTTAATTAATCTATAATCTCTTTACCGGATGTGTACAATTATAGAAAAGTTTTAAAGGAAGCAATATAATTGTAACAGTAAGTTTTTATTTATAAGGTAAGTTTTTTAATTTAGAAAACAAAAAGAATCAATTTAAAATTTTCTAACTACATGAAAATATTACATTATTTTTTTCAGTGTGCAAATAATATTGTTTGCAAGCAAAATATTATATCTCAATTATCAAACGTAATGAAAAGGAACTTTTAGATAATAAAGTTAATTTATGAATATAGTTGGATAGAAAATTAAAATAATGTTTATAGTGCAATAACTAATGTTAAGCAGCTTCTGTAAGTTTTTGAAATGATTTTATGGTGTTTTAACACATCATAAAACAATCAACGAGATCGTTGACCTATAAATGATTAAATGTTTTTCCCTTAAACTTTGATCAACGATATAATGTATTTAATCTGCTTAAAAATTTACAACCTCGAGAGTAAATTAATAAATGGATAATACTGCAAAATATTGATTATTAACTTGTGCAATTAAATATTAAACTTTTCAATGAGTTTACTATAATTTTTTATTTATCATAAAATTCATTTCAGATAGAAATTTTATCATATCAATACAATCAATCAATTAAAAAAAAAAATGTCAGCAATCAAGCTATAAAATTTAAACGAAAAACAAATTTCAATTTCAAAATACAATCATTGTTAAGAGTAAAACAGTATAACGTTTTAAAAACTTCATTAAAAAACATTGTAAATAAGTGCAGTTATAAGACGTCAAATAACATTTTGTGTGCTATTAATAAGAACACATTTCATAATGAAAATTTAAGTTACTATAGTGAACTCATTTGAATATTTAACTTAGCCAATAGTTTTAATTAAAAACATATTAAACGATTGTTGAACACTAATGCATGTCTTGCAAAGTTTAATTCCTATTTAAGACGAACGCCAACCACTAGTTTTACTGAAACTAAAACGAGTTTTATTCGTGTGTCGGAATTGTTTCAATAACAACGGCGGCGCCAAATTTCTTAGATCAGCTTGTTTCACAGTTGAACATTTATTTAAATTTAAAGAATCCTGTTCTATTTTATTTTCAATTATCATAGTCACTATTAATAGTTCAGAGAAATAATTCACTTTCATGAACTTAGTTATACACATTATTTATATTATTATGAGAGCCAAATTTTAAAGTTTGTCAAAAGCATTATGATATTAGAGAATAACAACAAATAATTAAATTCATTGTTAAATTTTTAAAGTTCCTTCAAGTTAAATAATTTGGAATATAACTTACACGCGTAGAATTTTTTATTTCAATGTTTTTTTATAAAAAGCGATTGATAGCTGAATTTCTCTTAAGAATAAATTCTCTTTGAATTTTTTAGTATTATTTATTTCTTAAATATTGAGAAATTATTACCACATGTAAATTATAAACAGGAATAAATCTATCCCGTAAAAGGGAACCAATTTTATTATTTTTAATGGTAACATATACAAACAATGAATAATAGATAACAACTTTTGAACGAGTATTTTAAAAGTTGTAAACATTTTTATATCTAGGTCGGAGGAGGAGTGCAATAGAGTGATGATGCGTAATGATAAAAATAACGTAGTCTGCACTTCATCTCCATTCTACGCTTAAAATGTTAATAACTTTTGAAATACTTATGTCAAAAGATGTTATCGAAAGTTGTTGCTATAAAAAAAAATTTGGTAACCCTTATAAGAGATAATGGATAGACCTGATTTTTTTTCCAAAGTTATTTTTATCTAGGAGAAATCTAATAGTCCACGATAAAATAAAAACATGTATAATAAAGAGTCCTTGCAACGTCATTATTTTAAGTGATGAGTTTAAAGTTATTCTTCCTCTAAAATTTTCGATCAATTGCTTCTTTTTACTATAAACTATTTTTGTTTTTTCATTTGTGAAGTGATGTTGAGTATTCAAATTTTTCATATAAAATCTTACTAAAGAAACATAAAATAAAAAATTGTACATAAATCTATAGATTTTGTTAGAAAATTTGTTGATTTAATTCTAATATAAAAATTTTATATTACTCATAAATTGGTTGGATTTAAATTTAGAATATATCATTGTTGCAATATTAAAAATTATTTCTAATAAAATATTTTTATGCTAAAATTTACCTAAATTTAAATAACAATTAAACGACCAACTTAATTAATATAATTTAAAAACAATATTTTATCTAATAAATTATGTGTTTTACTACATTGTTTTTCCCATTTAAGTGATTATTGGTAAAAAAAAAATGTTAAGTGCTCACATTTTAACCCTGAACAAATGTGTTTTGCTAAGCTTATATTTAATCTTACCAGTAAAATTATTAAATTCCTTTATTCATAGGCTAGTTCACGTATAAAATAAGCCCATACTAGAGTTTTTTCCATTTTTTAATATTATGTCATAATGTATTACAACCACATGAACACATTTATGGTTAACTACATAATTTAGTTGACATTTTGTAATTTCACATTGTTTTAAATATATTTATATGATGTTGTGCAATTTAGACTATGGATTATATTTTAAGTCACAGTAACGTTTTGAATATTTTAAGTTCACGATATTTAATATAAATAAAACTGTGATTTGTAATAATACAAATTGAGAACCATTTTTTGTTAAATAAAAATCTGGTTGTAATCAAGAAGACTGTTATTTTAATAATAAAATTCAAAGTTTTTATGTAAATTGTTATTTTATAATTGAACGCCATTCATTTTGAAATAGAACTTATTTGTTAAAAATATCGTAAAAAACGTTCTTAAAGTAAAATAGGTACTTTAAATTAAATGTCTCGATTTATGTGAAATTTAAGAGAATATTTATTCATGAGCCACATAACCTTCTTTTAACATCAAAAGTATTTCCTTAAAATAAAATATATTTTTTTTACATCCACTACAATTTAGAATTTTTATCTTAAATCTTATTATACCTTTTTTATCATACCACGAAGACACCAATGCAACAACTCGTTTTTATTCAAGTTATGTTACATTTTTTGTCTTTAAAATTAAACGAATAACCTTTAGTGATATTTTCTTCTAAATGTTACGTTGCAATGTAACTAACGATATAACTGCATATTAATATAACTTGGGTAAGTATTCATAAATCACAAACAGTCTACTGAGACGTCAAAACAAATAAACGATGCTTAGTTAACTTAGATGAGAAAACGACCAAACAAAAATCACGTATAATGATAATGGTAAAGTTTTAGTGTTTGCTTAGGAGATCAACTAAAACAACTATTTAAAATTAGTTTAAGTTATTTCATCTACTTTAGACAAAATGAAATATTTTGTTTTTTTGGGTATATTAACATTGTTGGTTAATATTCTGTTGTTATTTAATATTTTAGAAAATAAAAAAATGAATAAATTTTTTTAAATATCTATAAATGGCAAACTTAGCTATTGGAAAAAGACAGATAAAATGAGATTCCTATAGGTTAAACAAAATTTGTATGAGTTAAGTTCGTTAAAAAAATTGGAGTATATAAATTTTTTCACTTATAATTATTTTAAAAAATCAACAATTTGAGTAAAGATATTAGCTACCCGTAAAATAAAAAATATTATTTACTGAATATTTTTTTAAATGAATATTGAAGCTCACAAAATTATATTTGTAGGATTGCTTCAAACGTCCATAACAACAATGTAAAATATTTCTATGTATTTCTTAAATTTTTTTTGAAAATTGACATGAACAAATAAATTAATATTTATAATAAGTATAAGTGTATGGTATGGTATAACAATCATACTAATTCCTTTATATTGTAACGTTAGTACCAGTGTAATTATTATAATTATACTTAATTATTAAATTTACTATTGAATCTGTTATTTTCACTTGACTCGACTATATTTATTCTTTTACTATTACATTTAACCACAACGATAGCAATGCTTTAACTAGTTTATTGAATTAAACGCCATATTTACATAATGTTTAAAAGATTATGTAGCGCTGGTAAATTTTATTATAACCCTTGTACCACACATTAAATTTTATTTTATACAGATGTTTGTGATTTTATCACTGGTAATAATATGTAAAATAAATTTGAGTAGCAAAT